AAATAACTTCTAATACCAATTAATCTTATTCTAAGGTTTTAGTTTATTTATATTTTTCATATAAAATATGACATAAATAATATTATGGAACTACAAAATATATCATAAAATTATAAACTGAAAAATATACAACAAATAGCTTCTATAACCAATTAATCTCATTCTAAGGTTTTAGTTTATTTTCTATTTTTCATATACAATATAACATAAATAATATTATGGAACTACAAAATATATCATAAAACTAGTACTACACCCGTGCGATGCACGGGATATTCATCGTAAAATAAATATTTAATAATGAAAAATGTTCTCGAAGTAGTAAGATCAATTTTGTAATACTATGTAATATATAATATTAAAAAAAGTCAACATGTTTACCGAAGTGGATCATGCAGTTGAGAATGTGTTTTTACATAGTAACAACGTGAAGCATGGTTCTATTGCACAATCCTCTGGCATGATCAATATTTCTGATGAGCATAACGGGAACTCATCTTTTCAATGTCAACTTATGCAGTGGAATTCCGGAGCATGATATGGTGTTGAGAAACTCGGTGAAATATATTTATGAGTTGACACCTTATAATAACTCCTCCTTACACATACTATCGTAGCTGAAATGAATCTTATCCTCTTCAGTTATGATCGACAAAAAATGATCATTCACAAAAGCGACACTTTCATTAGTCGGGTGCAAGAATTGCCCTGCCCTTGAAATAACCAAGAATGAACAGTTTGCTTATCAGATCGGGATAAACAAACTCGATAAGATCCAAAAAGGGATCTGCAGAATCACGAATCAACATGTCAATCGGGAATTTCAATTGTAGCGTCACCATCATTGACCTCGCAGACGTCGCCATTACAGATTCTCAATATCCACTCCGCAAATTCTCTTATTTCATCTGCATTGAAGGAAGAGGAGGACGACTGAAGTCTCATGTTCTTGTACAACTTCATAACCTTACATTGTCTCCACAATGGTGATGAATTAATTATATTGTAGCATGAACAATGTCTTATCTCGATGCTTTAAACACAACTGGCAGAACTTGTCGAAAGTCCTCTCCAAGAACTACAACATTGCCTGCAATGGCATATCTAGGGATGGAAATTGGAACAAAAATTCCGATTTCCATCGATTTCGATCCGATTATGAAAAGTTTCTGCAATTCGATTTCCGATTTTGCCGAAAAAAATCGGATAGGAATCGGAATCGGAATTTATGAAATCCGATCCGAAAATAGTTCCAAATAATGCCAAAAAATTTCAATGTTTATTTATTTATTTAAACATTATATACATACATATTTTCATATAAAATCTAAGATCAAATCTAGGCTGGGCTGATTTCTTTAAAATTATTGAAATGTGGCCCATGTATTATTAGCCTTTTCACCAACTAAAACCAACCCTTCCAGATTAATGAGTTTTCTCATCTATTATTTCTTGCACAACGCCGCTTTTCACCATTTTTGTGATTCCAAATCTAATCAGCATTTCTTCTTCCCCTTGCTTCTTCTCTAATTTTTTTTCAGCTCATCAAATATCTTGTGTAATTCGTAGTAAAGTTATCATCTTCCACAATACTTTTAAAGTCGGAAAGCAGATCTCATAAATGAAATATTTTTTTTTCTATTTTTGTAACTTTCAGCAGATTCCAAGTTATTTACGAAATTATATATGTGTGATATGTCAAATTCAAGTAAAATAGAAATTTTCAATTTTGCGTCACTTCTTGGTAAGATTAGCCATTGCTAATTTTTTTATTCTTTGTTGAATTCGATTTTTTTTTGCCTCTTTTTTTAGAAAGTTTCGGAATTTCGATTTTTTCGATATTTTTGAATTTTTTGATTATTTCGGAATCGGATCTCATTCTCAAATTCTGATTTTTTTGAAATCGGAATCGGGATGCATATTTTTTTTCCCACAAAAAATGGAAGTTTTCTGAAAAGCCTATATATGACCTGATTCGTACGATTTCCACCACTACGCATATTTGAATCAAGTATCGATTTCATTGTCTTGTCAAGTATTTCGGAACAATACATGTGCATCATTGGTGTCTCGTCCCATATGATTAGTTTTTCTTTAGACAACAATTATGCATGTGGACTTTGTGGTTTGATGTTGCATGTTAAGCTCTCATGTACAATTATTGGCAGTCCAAATTTCGAATGCACGGTTCTGCCACCGGGAAGTAGAAGCGAAGCAATGACACTATAAGCAACATTTATAACTGTTTTGCCTTTTGAACGGATATGAGTCGATAAAGTTTTCCATATGAAATTCAATCTCGTTCCTCCATGCACATAAAGAAAGAACAGTCCACCTCTGTCATTTATAACAACCTCCATGATATCATCGAACACTTTTTTCTGGTCATAGGAAATGAATGAAAGGTATTTCTTAAGTTCTTCACGCATCGCATCAACGTTATAGTCCAACTCGTCGAGAACCAATCCATTTACCGTGACGTCCGCCATCGACCTAATCGGGATCGGCATTGGGGGAAAGTTACTCAAGCTTTTGTTATTGCTTTGTAATATGTTTTCTATTTCGATCAAAGCATAGTTTCTCAGAGTATCGTCGGACACATTTGGACCTTCATATAGAATAATATGAAAAATTAACAAAATGTGGCAATTATAAAAATATATACATTTAATTCAAACGTTTAAAGTAAATTGTGGAACAATGTAAGACGTATTGTCATACCTAAATTGGTACGACAATGTTGCAGTCTGTACGCAATGTCCTCCGTGAATTCATTCCAACAATACTCCAACATATATTCCGGTCTGGTCATATTATTCGCAACCAAAAGTACGACAAATAATCGTCTCACATAGTCACCATTGACCTACTTTTTTGCCTCATTTATGCCAGCTATGTACTCCTTGTCGTCGTCTAAAAGTCCCAGCGCAAAACACACATCTTTAAAATTTAGGTAGACGTGATCCTCAATTATTCTAAGATCATTGTAATATATGCAACCTCTTTGAAAGTTTAGCAACAGTCTCAAATAATATATATATATATATATATATATATATATATATATATATATATATATATATATATATATATATATATTATCATTACAAATAGTAATGTTGTTCGTACCTGTTGTTGCAACATTTTTCGCAACTCTTTCACTATGTCTGCTAGTTCAAATTACTGAAACACATTACAATAATATTTAATATAATATTGATGTATTTATAGTAAAAAAAATGTTCCACGAATTAAGTACCATAATATATATGTAAATTATAAATATACTAAATTATCATTACCATCTGTAATATCTGATATAATTAAATTATTCGGTGTAGTTCGTGATGTCGTGTTATTTGTTGTAGAACAGTCAAGATATTTGAATCGAATTACAATTCTCTTCCTAGACCGGAACCCATCTGTGTTGTAAAATTTTGATTTATCGATCAAAATGCCGCAAGAACATGTATTTATTTGACCAAATTCTTATATATATTAATGAAATGTATATAAGAATGATACATAATACTAACTTTTACTAATTGGAAGTTGTTAAATAATATTTATAAAATTAAACATGTGTATTAGCTGAAGGAATGAAGGCAAATTTAATTGACATGCCGGGTACATTGGCTTCTTTCCCTTTCATCATTATGAGTGTATACGTCATCTCTATGAATAAATTAAAAATTGAGATCCAAAAGAAAACAGTAGAAATACATTGTAATATTTTATCATCTTCATAATATCTATACTAATGACGATGTCTATATTGAATGTCAATCGTTCATAGAAATTGTGAAATAATAAAAATTTAAAAATATGTTTAAGTAGAGGTTCATTTAAATTAAAAAAAAAAGTGTAAATCTATATAACATAAAAGTTGAAACCCACATTGCTTAGAATTATCGATCGAAATGCCGCAAGAACATGTATTTCTTTGACCTAATTCTTATATATGTTAATGAAATATATATAATAATGATACATAATACTAACTTTTACTAATTGGAAGTTGTTAAATAATATTTAAAGTAAACATTTGTAATTAGGTGAACGAATGAAGGCAAAATTTAATTGACCTACCGAGTTCATTCGCACATGTCCCTTGTCATTTAAAAACGTTTCATCATTATAAGTGTAAGCATAATTTGTATGAATAAATTAAAAAATAGAGATTCTTATAAAAACAAAATAAATATTAGACAACTAATCAGTTAGTGGAATGTATTTTTTTTTGTACATTTTTCAAATAACGGATGCATTTATGTCTTTCTACTCTTCATGTGTGGTTAATTCAACATTTTATTGAATATTTAAATGATTTTGTCTATAGAAAATGAATAGTTTAAACATGGGATAATTACAGTTTTGGTCCCCAAGTTTGCATGTTTTTCACTTTTGGTTCTCCATTTACCGCCGTCAACAAAATACACTCTAATGTTATCACATTTTAACACATTGAGTACTTCCGTCTGTTTAACTGTCAAGAAGTAACGGTCAACGGTGAATTATGGTTGAATTTGGGATTTTCCTTTGAGAAAAATTGCAATAAGACCCATGTATTATTTAAAAATATTCTAAAAACCCATAAAATTTTATCCAATCATAATTTAGCCCTAATTTCAATAATTAGCCAATTTTGGCCAATGACCTCGTTTTTTATCACCATCGCTACTAACCGTTCTTTTTTAAACTTTTATACGACGTTGATTTTTTTTCGCTATTGTTCACCAACATTGGATTGTCGGTTAACAAAGTTGACTTTTTTCTTTTTCTTGATGTTTTTTAAAAAAAAAATTCTTTGATTTTATTTCCGATCAACATAGATAACACAATAAAATACTATATTAATATCCGTCACCGTAATATTAAAAATTCAAACTTGTAACAAAGTTTTTATCCAAAAGTTGAGCCAAAATACAATTTAAAAAATTACTAAAAATCCGTAATTTGTTCCTCTCAGTTTTTTCTTCGTGAATTGCTTGCGCATCGCAAATTTATTCCCAAAGAAATATGAGGAAGATGAATTAGGAATGTGTAATAATTTGAAAAAGAGATAATCACTCCATTACAATGATTTTGGGACCAACACCGGCCGTTGATTCTTTTTCTTAGTTTTATTCCCGTCGTTGAGCGAAGTTGACTTTTTTATTTATTTTATTTTGACTTTTATTTTTATATTATTTTTTCGTAGGTTATCGGTTTGAATTTTTTTTTAAATATATTTTTCCCGCTAACAATTTAAAATAAACAGAAATAAAAAGAAAAAAAGAAAAAAAATTAACGCAATTAACACGACATTTAACGTCGGTCAATGGTGGCAAAAAATAAAATCAATCAAAAAAAGTCAACCACCCAGTGAAAAAGAAAGTCAACGTCGGAAAAAAAAATCAACAAAAAATAAAATAAAAATATAAACTGAGGTAAAAATTGTGGTCATTGGTCAAAATCGGTATAATTGGTAAAATTGAGGTTAAATTAGTGTTGGATGAAATTTTAGGAGCTTTTAAAAAGTTTTAAAATAACATAGGGGTCTTATTGCAATTTTCTCAAAGAAAAATCTCAAATTCAGCCATAATTCAAGCATTGACCGGTTCTTGTTGACGGTCAAACAGACGGATGGACCCAATGTTTAAAATTTGACAACATTAGAATGTATTTTGTTGACGGCGGTAAATAGGGGACGAAAAGTGAAAAACGTACAAACTTGAGGGACCGAAACTGTAATTATCCCTTTAAACATGTAGTAAAAGAGCGAAATATATCAACCATTGTACGCATGTGATGACAATGCAAATCCTTTTCTAGCACCCAATCTTTCATTAACACAGATCAATGAAACAAAAAATCAAATCAAATAAATTATTTTCTACAAATATAATCAGATCCACACAAAGGAAAGAATATGTTAATGTTATATTTTTATATAAAATGGTTTAAAAAATGTTGTATTAAACAATTATGCAGATTAAATTGTGCAACCAAGATGCAAGAAACGAAAAACAAAATAAAAATAAAGACATATCCAATAGAAGGAGGCAATAAGCGGATGTATGATATTTACCTTTAGATTATTACCGATTTGTCGATTTGTTGAACTTTGTCATTTATGTCAATGGTCGTCGTTCTCCGCTAGAATATGAAATTAAAATATATATATTTCGTATGCTATTTATTCTTTTACAAAATGGAAGGGAATATTTTCTATATTTAAAAGATACACAATGAAATACAACTTATTTTATTTAAAAAAAAATTATATTGCACCGGCGTTGAGTTAGTTAAGGTAAGAAATCAATTTCGGATTCGTAAGATATGGATATAATTGCCAATTGTGTGGCATATTTAAATGGAAAATATTATACTTAAGCCAAAATTGCTTAATTATCAAACAAAAATAAAGACATATCAATCAAATTTAAATACGGTTCTACTATGTCGGACTTTTTTTTTAACTAATAATACTATGTGGGGGTTGTATTATTATTTTTATAAAATTATGTGGTAATATTGCAATTAAATAACATGGTTATGGACATAATTGGGATGAAAATAAGTTTGCGCCGTTTTGTTTTCGAGAATAATACTATGTTTGGGTTGTATTTTTAATTTTATTAGATTACTGTGCCAAAAATAATGTATATAATTTAGGGCCTTTTCGTTTATAATCAATAATACTACACCGGGACTTTTATAAATTCAAATAAATTGTTGTGCCAAAATTTTAATTAACAATATTGTTATCAGCATAACAAAATTAAATAATAGTCGGCAAGTATAATTTTGTTATTTTATTAAATAGTTGTCTCAAGATTTTAATTAACAATTATTCCTCATTATATAAACAGTAATAACATAATAACAATTATTAGAGTACACAAATTATATTTCAAAACAATAACTGATGGAATTCATTAATGTAACAATTGAAAAATAATCTCTACATATAAATACTCCTATTATTGAGTGATTCAAGATAATAATGTTCTATGGATTATGTAAAATGAAAAGATAATATTTTATTTTAGATATAATGATTTTTTGTTTACGAACATGAATAACTTAATGTGTCGTGTTCTTTTTTTTTTTTTTTTTGGACAAACGTGGGTGAAGGTTATGGATGAGGTGAAAAGGAAAATACACTATAATAAAAGAAAAGTATATTATTGTTATTCAATGTGTTATTTTAAATACAAAATAGAGCAAATGGTGCAATTTGATATCAATCCATTCAAGTAATTACATCAATAAAGGAATGAAGAGTGACATACATAATTAACGGGGAAAAAAAGATTATTCAATATAATTTTATAGATTGATAAAGGGCAAATAAGAAAATATTTAATTTAAAATTAAAGTTGTTAATGTGGGAAAGTAAGAAGATTATGATATCATTTACATATATATACATTAATTACATTATTCGATTATTGTCTAAACACATGTCATCGTGAAGTTCGTCATCGTGAGCCTCACCGAAAATCTTGCAACCCTTGCATGTCGCAACAATTTTAGATTTTCTCACAATGTTCTCGATTCTTATGTATAGAATAATGATATCCATGTATACATTATATACTACATCAAACAAACAAAAAATAAATAACTCCAATTCAAATTAAAAGAAAGGAAAAAAATAAATAAATTAAAGACAATCCAAACAAAAAGGGTTTGGTCGGTAAATAAATCACAACACTATAATGACACAAAAGATTTATTCCTTGCAAAATATAAAAAATCAGTTCTTGAAAAATATTTAATAGGTAAAATCAGTTCTTGCAAAATATAAAAAATCACTACAGACGATAAGACGTAAATACGATAAGAACGTAAAATTTAAATGAAAAGAATATTAACATCAAGAATAACATTAAAAAATCAAAAAAAAAATTAAAAGTTAATAACAATCAAAAAATAAGAACGACGGAATTACCAATATTTGGCAAACAACAATACATTGGAAACAATAAGAAGGAAGAATAATGCAAAAAGAATATCAAGAACAACAAAATAGAAATCAAATCCAATAATTTTTTTTTATCAAGAACAACTAAACGTTGAAATGAAAAATTAAGGCAGAATAAAAAATAAAAGCAAAGCATAGAAAAAAAATTATGTGTCGTGTGTTGGCTATGTGAATAAATGAGTGAAAACAATGGATTATTTATAGTGTTTCCGATGTGGTGTTAATAAGAGTTTTTAGATTTTGATAAATTAGAAAATTATATTATTAATATTAATATAATTGTGTAATTAAGGTGAAAGAGATCCGGATTGATTAAATATAAATGGGTAAATTGTCAAGATTTCCATAATTTGTATACTAAACAATAATATTTACGGAAATAATCATAAAAAAAAAGGCTGATTATTTGATTGTAATTGAAACGTATAAATGTATTACACACTAATTATTCCATTGAAAAAGCGGATTTGATGGAGGATAAGATATATATTTTAGTAAATTGTGTAATCAATAGTATATTACACGAAAAAAAAGGTTGATTAAAGTATATTTGTAATTAAAATGTAATGGAATAACTAATTGGATAAAAAAAATGGTAACACACGACACGAGGCAGATTAATGCCACCAACTATTTATAATATTATTATTATTATTATTATTATTATTATTATTATTATTATTATTATTATTATTATTATTATTATTATTATTATTATTATTATTATTATTATTATTATGAGCAACATAGTAAATATAGTTAAACACACTAATAAAAAAAATGGAATTCTATTAGTATTAATTTAGTTTTTTAAATTTAATCAAAGTATTTATGATATAATATATTATTTCCATATTAATAGACTAATTAATGATCCTGGCAACATTTTTGGTAAATTTAGCCAAATCATCAATTAATGCTAGTAAATAAAAATGGAAGATATCATAATAATAAATAATGATGTGCCAAAATGAGTAGGATGACATGTGTATCTCCACGTGTCGATGACATGGATGCCAAATGTCGTAATTCTAAGCAATGATGTGCCAAAATGAGTAGGATGACATGTGTATCTCCACGTGTCGATGACATGGATGCCAAATGTCGTAATTCTAAGCAATGAGGGTTTCAATTTATATATTATATAGATTATAAATTGACAAGGAAAAATGGGTTATTTTAAAAAATTAAATAAAGGAAATTAATTCTCTCTGAAAAATAAAATAAAAGAATTAAGAATAATGGGGGAATTGTCCACTGTGTGCAGTGTGCACAAAAGGGGTTGTGGGGATGCGTCTAATGTAGGCGCACTAGGGTAGGATACGCCCAACTGTACTGGGGCGCATGAGAAGTGGCGTGGGGTGCGAAATAGTGGATAATTGTTACCAAATTTGAGTGATGGAATCTTGTTTCATCGGACTCCGGAAGGTCGAACAAAAAAATCCCCTACAAGTTTAAAACGCATATTAAAATATAATTGCATAATATTTTTGAATCGACCCGAGAAGTTATTAAATTTACCGAACATCAAATAAAATTCAATAATTTAGTTAATTATAACTAAATTATACAACCAAACGAGGACTTAGTAGATTCTGTTTGGCCCACTATATAGAAGATTGCGATTTTGAATATCTTGAATAGTTATCGAGGTTGCTATGAAAATGTCAACATTAAATGTCAATTTTTAGGTACATATAAAATATAATAATTTCTTATTAATAAACATAGAAGGTGTGACAAAAATGTATGGACCGCCCTTATATTTCCAATTTTCATTGGCGTAACTGTCACAAGACCTATCGACTCGATTAATTAATTAATTATCCTATCTGTAAGGTAGTGATTGGTGGATTAGTCAAATAAACATATTAATTATTTGCCTTAAACATATATCATAGTGTGATAGACAATGATCTCCTTGTTTGATTGCTCTGAATGAGCTCTTAATGGACCTAAATCTCTTATTCGGTCAGTAATTTATAATTCAACATGTTTGATTCAATCATCTGAATGGAGCCAACTTGTGCCCATTCATGTTAATTTTTAGAGCTTATTCATTCAGTGACAAATCTAAATAGATTTGATGAAGATATTTTCACAAATACCCCTATTTCAACCACCTAGATAAGTGTTTGATGAAAAAGACAAAAAAAAATAATAGAGTTCTTTTAGATAGCTTGTGGCAGAAAAATTTCAAGGAGTTTCCATATTTTTGTAAGTTTTGATTTGGATTATAATATTTACATTGAGAAAAAATATGATATCCCTCAAATTTATCATTTCATTAAGAATTCATTTTTTTCTTCTTCTCAATTTTAATGTCATATATTTTTAATGTTGGAGTAGGATAAAGTTCAATAATTTTACTTTTATATGTGTTTCAAGAATTAGAATTGATTTACCTCAAGCCATTTATTTTATCAAAGTAAATTGATGACATGACATAATTTATTTTTACTTAGACATTTTTTAGAATTAAATTAGTAAATAAATTTATATATTAAAAAAAATTGAGGGCTATAGAATGAAAATATACGAGTTCACACATATTTCTCCTTCTACTATGGTATCATGGAATTTAATTTCTCACCATTTTTTCTTTTATCTTTAGGTATTTTAATGAAATTGAAACGGAATATTTTACTTATATATTTTTCAGAAATATATAGTTTATATTTACGC